GCTGGTGTATGTCCAGCCGGAGTGTCCTTCCGATGGAGTGGAAGAACAAACTGAAGCCTAGACGTGTTTTTCTTTTCTGTAGTAGCTGATGAACATTAGAACTCTTTTACAGTATTTCTTTAGTTTGGTGATGGATTTAGTTATTTTATCAGTATTTTCCTTTCTTTTGGACTATATATTTCTTATTTCCTAGTTGGACCATTTTTGTATTAAGGGTATGTTTGACCCATATTTTTATGTCTAGATTGATTTACCATGGGTGATATGTTTATTTCTTATTCTGGATTGTCTTTATATTCTTGCTATTGTGATCAGGGACCTGTGATTGAGATTTATATATTTGACGCTTAGATTGAGAAGAAAAGAAGAAAAAAAATATGAGTGTATATTTCTTCTCAATCTAATACGTCGCGGGCTTGTTCACGCTTCGATTCCTGGGTATTTTGGAAAGCGGGGCGTAACACACATCACTTGGTGGGACCAACTATTTTATCACTTTCATTGATGACTATTCTAGGAGAAATTGAGTATATATAATGAAGCATAAACATGAGGTCCTGGATATTTTTGTGGAGTGGAAGAAGAAAGTGGAGCTACAGATAGGTAGTAAAGTGAAGATTTTTTGTCCAGATAACGGTGAAGAGTACAAAAGTGATCCATTTCTATAGTTTTGTCAGAATTACGGCATTAGGCGATACTTCACAGTTCGAGAGACACTTCAACAGAACGGGGTGGCTGAAAGATTGAACCGTACCTTGCTGGAGAAGGTACGATGTATGATAACATAGAGTGGATTATCTAGATCCTTTTTGGCCGAGACATTAGTTTATGTGAGTCATCTCATTAATAGGTTGTCGTACACTGCGATACAGGGGAAGACTCCTATGAAGCGTTTGTCTGATTCGATGGCTAGTGACTATGAGTCACTTTGGATATTCTGGTGTCCTACTTATTATTATGTCAATGATGGAAAATTAAATCTGAAGGCGAAAAAACAGTCTTTATAAGATTTAGAGAAGGTATTAAAGGCTTTAAATTATGGGATTTACAGAACAAGAAGATAGCTATTAACAGAGATGTCACATTTGATAAAGCGTACATGATGAGGCCTCAAGTTCCTCGGTAGGTGGAGGAAGACCAGATTAGTAGAATATCACAGCAGGTGGAGGATGATGTGACTCCACCCACTCCAGATAGCATTGTATCCATTGAGACTCCTACAGAGTTAACACTAGAAGGAGATGGGATGACAGACGGATATTTGGAGGATACAGTGGATGGTGAGACTCAGGAGCAGGGTCATATTCAGAAGTCCATTGCAGTAAATAGACCCAGAAGGGTGATTCGTTGGCCAGCTAGATACAATAATATCATGGTTGCATATGCTTTATCAGTGGAGGTCGTTGATGATATGGTTCCTTCTATATTCAGGGAGACAGAGTCTAGCTTTGATTCGATCAGGTGGAAGGAAGCTATGAAGGAGAAGATGTGGTCTCTTCAGAAGAACGACGCTCGGGAACTTGCAAAGCTACCTAAGAGAAAGAAAGCTATTAGTTGTAAGTGGGTATATGCAATAAAAGAGGGATATTCTATTGGGGACATTAGGTACAAAGCCAGATTGGTTGCCAAGGGATATGCACAGCTTGAGGGCGTTGATTGGGGACATTAGGTACAAAGCCAGATTGGTTGCCAAGGGATATGCACAGCTTGAGGGCGTTGATTACAACGAGGTATTTTCACCCCAAAGCCAGATTGGTTGCCAAGGGATATGCACAGCTTGAGGGCGTTGATTACAACGAGGTATTTTCACCCATTGTGAAACATTCATCGATTTGGATTTTATTAGCATTTGTGGCACAGTTGGATTTGGATTTGATCCAGATGGATGTTAAGACAGTCTTTCTATATAGAGATTTAGATAAGGAGATCTACATGACACAACCCTTGGGATTCAAAGCTGCAGGAAAAGAAGATTTGGTGTGCAAGCTAAAGAAGTCTCTTTATGGTTTGAAATAATCGCCACGATAATGGTACAAGAGATTCGACAGCTTCATGATTGGCCATGGATACACGAGGAGCCCATATAACCCATGTGTTTACATGCACAAGCTACAGGATGATGAGTACATATATTTGTTATTATATGTTGATGATATGCTTATTGCTTTCAGGAATTCTTCGGCTATTCGAAAGTTGAAAAAAGAACTATCATCCGAGTTTGAGATGAAGGATCTTAGAGAAGCTAAGGAGATATTGGGTATTGAGATCGAGAGAGCAGGGTGAAGGGGAGATTGAAGCTTACACAGAGGAGTTACTTACAAAAGATGTTGATGAAATTCAGCTTTGATGGTAGTGCAAAAGCAGTTAGCACTCCATTGGCTCCTCGCTTCAAGCTTTCAGTTTAATATCACATGTTTCAGTTGAGGACAGAGATTATATGTCAAATGTTTCATATGCCAGTGCGGTGGGTAGCTTGATGTATGCGATGGTGTGTACGAGACCAGATTTATCACTAGCCGTGAGCATGGTATCGAGGTACATGCATGACCCCGGGAAGGGTCATTGGGAGGTCGTGAAGTGGATTCTACAGTATGTTAAAGGCACCGTGGATGTTGGTTTGATTTTTCAGAAGAATGAGAAGAATGAGCAGGATTGTATTGGCTATGTGGATTAAGATTATGCGGGGGATCTTGATAAGTACCGGTCTACTTCAGGATATGTGTTTACATTGGCAGGAGCACCAATATGTTAGAGATGTACACTTTAGTCTACAATTGTTCTCTCTACTACAGAGGTAGAGTATATGTTGGTGACTGAAGCTGTGAAGGAGGCTTTGTGGTTACATGGATTGTTGGAGGACTTGGGAATTGCATAGGAGACTCTTCAGGTATATTGTGATAGCATGTCAGCTCTCAATTTGGCAAAGAACCAGGTTTATCATGCACACACGAAGCATATTAATATCGGATTCCACTTTATTCGTGATGTTTTGGATGATGGAGATGTCATATGGGAGAAGATCCACACGAAGGACAACCCTACGGATATGTTGACAAAAGTTATTTCAGGTATGAAATTCGGTCATTGTTTAAAGCTATTGAACATTCTTTAATGTTGAGAGCCTTTGGAGGCCATTTTGGTAAACTACATTCGGCTTGATTCCTTGGGCAAGAGAATACGTAGGCAGTCTTTTTGATGCAGCTGGGTTGGATTTGTTGATTTCGATGGGGGAGATTGTTTGAGCTCTCATTTGGGTTCCTGACTTATTGTGGATTGAGTCCATTGTCGTGGATTTATTCCACTTCATAGTGGACGCAACAAGTAGGACATTTGGATTCTTTGGTGTCGGCTCAGTTTTAGGAGAAACTTCACCGAGGTGGAGATTTGTAGAGGTGGCGAACACGGCGATGAACAACTTACGAAAAATCAGCAGAGAGACAGTTTTCAGGCTATCCGGTCGACCGTGAGTCAGCTGCGGTCGACTGGAAACGTGCACAGAGAGGTAGTGGTTTTCTGGAGTTGGGACGGTCGACCGCTTGAGACCCTATAGGATTCTGGGACCGAACCGCCGCAGTCGACCGTGAGAACCCTGTAATGATTTTCTAAATTAGGGTTAAGCAAGGACGATTTAAGTAGACTTTTGAAAGAGTATTGTGCATCCTTTGTGGGAGGATTTGTGAGAGATCTAGAGAGCTTTGTTCTAGGGTTTATTGGTGAGATTTATAACCCTATTTGTATTCTCTTAATTTCTAATAGTAATAACTCCCTCCTTGCCCCGTGGACGTAGGCAACTTGCCGAACCACGTAAAATTCGTTTGTCTTACTGTGGTGATTGTGTTTTGCTGGTGTGGTTGTGATTTATCTCGTTCTTGTTCGTGCACTTTCGTGTGGTTCGAGTTCCGCTGCGCACAACACCCTTCACATTTTATTGATCACCCAAAATCTTCCAAAAATTGATATTACTCCCCAAATTATTGAAATTACAGAAATGTCTCTTTAACTTATAAGGGTACCTACAATTTGGATCCTTTAGTTAATCAACTTTAGGTATAAGGGAAATGTTCCCTCAAATCTAGTTGTACTCAATGGCTTTGCATCCAAAACCCACAAATGAAAAACCAAATTCACATCTTTCATCTTCTCCAATTGTAAAAATTCTTTCTAACTCATTTCTTATAGTCTGCAATGACCTTCTTCTCTGAAAGGTCTGTTCCCGGGAAGTATTTTAGTAATTGACAATAACAAGTTAAGAGCTTTTACCATGAGTTGCAAATTTCCGAAAAGTTAATAGCGTGACCAAATTGCGATAGTCCTTTTGATCTGACCGAAATATCCACTATTTCAAAAATTTGCGAGACCACGTCTCCCATAAAATCACTTACCACATCTCCCATAAAATTACTTAGTCCTAAGAAAAATGAAAATAATTCCTTAGTTTGAAAAAAATTACCTATTTTTTCTTTTTTATAAAAGGGTATTTTTTGGCGACTAAGAAGAATTTTTTTCTTCTTTTTTTTTTTCCCTGTGTTTACCAGGACACGTTAGCATTGATGATGCTAATATAGAGATTAAGCGATAAATTTCCATGTAAAATTTAAGCAGTCCATGAGGGATTTACTTCGACTCACCAAAAGTTCATGGGGTTTTTCTATAATTAACCCTACTTTTTACCTTCAGTCGAAGAGTGGGAAATCAAGACGTGGGTTCGGATTACAATCATCAAATTGTAGCGAGCAGGGATAGTGTAGGGATGTATGTAAGTGCTAATTAGCCATCCTATTCTGATAACATCTGGCAAGACTATCATATAATTCACCAACCAGCATTTTCCTATTTACCAAGCTTGATATGAAGTTTAATCCTCTTCGTTCCTCGGATTGCAGTTTCAGTTCCAAATTCTTTGCTTTCTAATGCATCGATCCAGCTAAACTTTGAATTTAACGTTCGCTTCATATAACAATATTTCATAACTTCAACCAGATCAAAGAACCGTGAGTGACTTCCACAAAAATAACTCACTTCCACAAAATGGAACCACTCTGGACTACATATCTACATGAGTAGGAAATTCACATGGTTCTGTTACTCAGAATGTAATGTGCTGTGCACATAAGGATTTCAATACAAGAAAACAACAATATTTAAGCCATTCTTTTGGACTTGGCTGAAATGAAGAGACTCGTGGGGAGCACATAGCTTACATAAATTAGACCAGAAGCAAGTCTAAGATTCTCAGCCAACTTAGAATTACAAGCACCTTTTCAAGTTTTTTAACATGTCAAATTTTTCCAAGAAATGCCAATGGCCCTGCAGACAAAGAGGAGGAATAATCACTAATCAGAAGTAATATTCTCGATTATTCACATGTTTACATAAGAATGAATCAATGCACCAAAAACAATACTAAGTAACAATTAAAGGGCGAATAAATAGTAAGACAACCAAAACAAATATTAAACAATAGTTTTTGTTGGAATGCATCAGAAAGAAACTTAAACTGAAATGATGAATCAGTATACATCGGTGAATCATATCACCGTAATGTGTCTCACTAATTCTGGGTTATAAAGCTGCAGGTAACATGTCTTATCAAAATTTTGACTCCAGTATATTATTATGATTATCACTGATGATGATACACTGCGAACAAGCCATGGTCTTCCCTGATGAGAATGGAGAAACAATTTTTCTCATTTAACAGAAGCCATACACTTTAATAACCAAAATTTTTAAAGATTACAGAAGAAACAAACACTAAGAAGAATTTCATTCTTCATACTGCAAGAGAAGGCATAGAACTCTGAAGCTCAGATCTACTGCCAAAAGCTTTCCATTATTTTGATTTCAGAGTAAAACCACTGCAAGACCTGAACCTT